ATGCCAAAAGTCCACTGACATCATAGTGAAGAAAGGTTTGTCCTGCTTTCATATTTTTCTCCGTTAAGTCAGAATCTACCTGGGATTATGATTTTTAAATTTGCCAAAGATAATTCTCACAATCCTTTACCTCTCTTTTTTCAGAGACGTGGAAATTAGCCAATAAGACAGTTTACATTGTTGCTGGCAGCAGTTTTCAGCACACATGTTCAAGTAAACTTGATAAAATAAACTTTTGGACTTTTGAAGCAACGACTGCTGTTGGGAAATCAGAACTAAGAGCAACAACAGACAATTTGACTTTCAACAAGTCTATATATATTGGAAATGTCAGAAGAGAAGATGTTGGTAAATATACCTGCTGGATGACTAGTTGTGTCGGACACAGTATTAAGCGAGTCACTATCAATTTGTGTGTAGTTACAGGTGAGAAACTAACACACAAACATCATTGTTTCATAGTAGAAGATAACCTGATGTAACCTTTTGATCTTTACTTACAGTATATGACAGTAAGGATTCATCTGATTCTTGCGCTGTGACGTGCGGCATGAAATCAAATAATCCCAACAGAACTTCAACTACATCTGTGCCTGTACATCCACACGGGTCCCTAAAGTGCAATATAGATTCAGTGTTTGATGGATACACTACAGTTACTACCACTCACACATCATCATTTAGCACAACAACAGGTGGGTGTTTAGCCATATGCTGTTTGTGAATCTTTTTCACCTGAATCAAAGAAATATTAATATTTAGCTTTTGGTTTAACAGGTTTTCAAAAAGAGCCTCAAGACTGGATCCCACTTATTTGTGGTATATCAGTATCATGTGTCATTTTAATGGCACTTATCATTTTTTGCTTCAAACCAAGATTACATTCAGGTAGGCTATGCAGCTGCGCCTAACTTCCACTTCCTGTGTACAATATTGTTTTTTTTTTCTTATGGTTTGCTTGAAAAATTTCCCCCTGTGATTTTGAATATGCTTCTGCTTCTGTCTCACCAAAGCATTTCCTGTTCAAATTTGTTGCTGTGGCTTGAATAGCAGGGTAAGTGTCTGTGCTGACATTGAGGTGTAACCTAAAACTCTCATGCAGAAATGAAGTGTGTGCGTGTTGCTTTGTCTGGGTAATGAAATGTATTGCTTTTTACTGCAGGTGGAAGAAGAGTCTTCAGTGGTTTATTCATCAATTATCATCAGGACACCCGGCAAAAGAATTAATCACATGACCTCTAGTGATTGTGTTTATTGTGAAATAAAAGTATAGAGAAAAAAAAGTCCAGGATAAGTGCAGTCACTTTTGTTTATATAGCACATTTTAAAACAATATGGATTGGTCCAAAGTGCTTTTCAGTTGACTGTTAAAATAGGTAAGGTCATTAAAGGGCACTGGTTAGAATTATACTTTCCATCCTTGCTGTCATTTGATGTAGTAACTGATTCCTCAAAGTACTTAAATTGTAACTTCACCCACACGCTTCTCAAGGGGAAAATCTGAAACCATGAGTCTTTTTTTTTCCAACAAAGGAATGATTTCAAATCAAATCTTTAACTGAACTTTTACCTAATTCTCTGAAGGCAGGGCAGGTGTTCTAAAGTACATGGGTCGAGATCATTTTAATGAGAAACTTTGAGTGTGATACAGATGTTATGTAACAACATTTTTTTGTTGTTGTTGTTGCTCAGTACAGAGGTGAGGTCCATTCATGAACTGCATGAAAGCACAGTTTCTGATTACCTTGCAGATCAAGTTAAGATAAAACAAATGTAGGTAAAGAAGAAACGTTGACCTCAAAATGTTACGGCAATTAAATGCTGCTTTCACAAAGAGGAACGTTATTAGGTACATTAATTTAGTCGAGCTCAGCAATTAAAACAAATTATTGAAAACAAATTATTAAAAACAAATTATAACAATTATTTCTATATTTTTTGGTTAAAAGAAAAAATACTTTTTACACTAAATTTATTTTACAGCTGTATTTTGTCTTACAGTTTTAGGTTTTATATAATCACCATATAAAATATGACCAAGCATCTAAGCAAAAGGTTGCATAAAGAAGGCTGTTAAAAGTGTTAAAACCACAGCAGTACTGTGTCTGCAGTGTTAATCAATAATGATCATCAGTGATAGCAAAACAATAACACCCTGCAGACAAAAGGTTATAGTATGATTATTACTGATTATTACTCCGAATAGCCTAAATTGAAAACAATGTGAGTACCACACCCACTTTTTTAATACACCACAACACCAACCCACAGAGACAGACAGGACATGACACGCAGGACAAACCACTGCATCACGATCTGTCATTGGTGGCGGTGTGCACAGCTCTAATGAAAACAAACCCAAATAAGGCAGCTGACCCAAATAATATCCTCAGGCATGCACTCAGGGTCTGCTCATCAGAGCTGGATGGTGTATTCATAGACATACAATCTGCCCATCCTTTAAGTCCATTACTAGTGTGGCCCTCTCCAAGAAACATACTGCCACATGCTTAAACGACCATCATCTTTTTGGACTCACATCAATTGTGATGAAGTGTTTAGAAAGGATCAAAAAGACTGTCCTGGCCACCTTGGACTATTTACTTTATGCACACATACAGAATCAGTCCACTAGAAGGTAGTAACACATCTGTGAAAATGCTGTTAGTTGACTGAAGCTGCATTTAATGCTGTCAGACTCTCTGAGAAGCTGCTCTTAGTCAGACTCACACCCTTTCTCTGTAACTGAGCTCTGAACTTCCTGTAAGATAGACCGCACTCAGTCAGAGTTGGACACCAGATATCAAACATCAAGAACTGTGAGCATTGGTATTACTCAGCGGCATGTGCTGAGTACACTGCCACATGCTCTCTTCACATATGAGTGTGAGCACCCCCCAATACCAGAATTATAAAATTTGCATATGAATCTAAAGTAATTGGGCTGATTACCGGTAGGGATGGCATAGAGAAGAGAAGTGAAATGACTAGTGGCCTGGTGTCAGGAAAATAATCTTGCACTAAATGTAGATAAGAGCAAGGTGATCTGAGGGAAAGACACTCCAAAACAGAGGTAGAGGACACACATGAGGTTGGATTTCACCTGGTGTCACAACACCCAGCAGGTAGTGAAGAGCACATTGACTGTTCTTTCTAAGATGACTAACAGGGCCTAGCTGCACTACTCAAGACAGGAACACTCTATTGTGCGAGAAAAACTGCACAATAAATCACAGGATCATCTTTTCATTAGTATATGACATTTACACCACCAGGGCTGTCAGCATTGCCCACATCAACATTAAATACAACACACACTCACACCAGTTAACAGGTAGGTGGTGGATTCTAAAGGTAGATGCAACAGGAGTCTGAAATCAAAGCAGTAATAGTTTTCACAGTACTGATATTCCATTCGTATAGCCTGTGTTAATAAAAGCAGAGTACCTATAGTCTAAAAAGCCTGTCTGTCCATGACGTCCATGTCCATTTCTTTTTATTCTATACACGGATGACCTGCTGTCGATATTTTAACACTACCAGTAGGTGGCTGTAATGAGCCTCAAAGTTGCATGTCTACCGATTTGACACACCAAAGGAAGACGCTTCTCATTCATTGTTGTTGCTAACTGTGTTCACTTTTTCTTTCATAACTAAAAAGACGTTTAATTTATTTCCGCGTTCGCTTCTTTATTTTTGAAAGGTAATATATTTTTTAATGTTTCTGTAATAACATTGAAACGTTTAGCCTTGTAGCTTAAGTAACGTTCCGGTTAATTACTAGGAAACCGAGTAGCTGTGTAGTAGTAGCCGTGTGTTCAGAACCCCGTTTAGGCCTTTGGTCAATAGTATTAAAACGTTATCGAGAACGAACACTTAAAACATTTACCCATTTTCCTCGGCTACTGCTCTTCGTGGTTTCGTAGACAATAATGCACTGTAACTGTTGTTTCGAGTGATTTACACCTAGATTAGAAAGCGTTATCACTGGCTATTAGCGAGCTAAAAGTTACAAACTCTGTTACCTATGGCGACAGGTGAAAATTTTTTGTTAATGATGGCATTGCTCCAACAGATGTTCCGACATGTATATATATATATGTATCTGCATATAATTTTCTTTCTTTAGGCTCAAAAACCTCAAAGTACCCGAGGAAAGATGGAGGCGCCACCTGTTACTGTAATGCCTGTCACTGGGGGCACAATTAACATGATGGAGTATCTGTTACAAGGTAAGATATCATGCATCCACCGAAGCTGAAGCAAGTAAGCAGGCAAATAACTAACAAGCCCTGAGTGTTATACTTAGCATATAGTACTGATAGTGGCAATACTACAGATAGTAGCTTATAGTAACAAAAATGCAAAACAATAGCAATAATCATTTAATAGTTGCATTGTGCAACTGTTCAGCACAATGAGTAAAGGTACATGAGCAACAGCCTTTGGTGTGAAAGTGAACTGTGTTACATATGTCACCTTTGACCTAAATTATTATGCACTAGTGCCTAAATAACAGCTAAATTCTTATTATAATATTATTATAAATAATTTTTAAAATGGTGCATTTACAATGTTTAAAACCTTATTTCTTAACTTGGTCACTCTATTGTAGAATACTGTGGGCCTTCTCCTGGACAATCGCAGTTTTGCCTAAAAAATGTATGGTCCAAAGTTTGGCCATGTATGATTACTGTGAAGTTTTATCAAATACTTTTCAAGATATATTTTCTTTGAAATATGGACCATTGAACCTCTTCCAGCATTTTCT